TATGTCTGAAAATCAGAAAGAATATTTATGTCTAACGACAAATAGATCTGGCAATAAATACATTTCTGGGAAAAAAATGCCAGCATATTCCTCAAAACTGTATTATACATATATCAGTCCAATTGAGATAAATGTGGTATCTAAAATTTATGACCACAATTCTTTTATCTTGTGGCATGACCGTTTAGGTCATCCAGGTAGCACTATGATGCACAAAATTATTGAAAATTCACTTGGACATTCATTAAATAATGTCAAGATTCCACAATCAAGTGATTTTCCGTGCACTGCCGGTTCTCTTGGCAAATTAATTATCAGACCATCTTTATACCAAATTGGAGTTGAATCTCCTGCATTTTTAGAAAGAATTCAAGGAGATATTTGTGGGCCTATTGCTCCTCCGTGTGGACCCTTTCAATATTTTATGGTGCTCATTGATGCATCGACACGTTGGTCACACGTCAGTCTTTTATCGACTAGAAATTTTGCATTTGCAAATCTCCTTGCTAAAATTATTCGTTTGAGATCACAATTTCTGGATTATTCGATAAAGAAAATCCGACTTGATAATGCAGGAGAATTTACATCACAATCTTTTAATGACTATTGCATGTCTATTGGGATTGATGTGGAACATCCAGTTCCACATGTGCATACACAAAATGGTCTTGCTGAATCCTTAATTAAGCGATTACAATTAATTGCTAGACCATTATTAATGAAATCCAGATTACCATCATCTGCATGGGGATATGCTATAATGCATGCTGCAAATTTAATTCGGCTTAGGCCAACTGCATATCATAAATTTTCCCCATTGCAATTAATATCTGGTAAAGAACCAAATATATCACACATAAAAATATTTGGTTGTTCTGTGTATGTACCAATTGCTCCACCTTATCGTACTAAAATGGGTCCTCAAAGAAGGCTAGGAATTTATGTTGGTTTTAAATCTCCCTCAATTATTAATTATCTAGAACCTATGAGTGGTGACTTATTCACCGCGCGGTTCGATGACTGTCATTTTGATGAGACAGTATTCCCAACCTTAGGGGGAGATTAAAGAAATGGACCCTCGTACGAAAGATATTACATGGAATGCAACAAATTTATCTTTTCTTGTTTCTCGCACAAATGCTTGTGAACAAGAAATTCAAAAGATCATTCATTTACAAAATGTTGCAAACCAATTGCCTGATGCTTTCACAGACTCAAAGAAAGTGACCAAGTCACATATTCCATCTTTGAATGCTGCTTCTCGAATAGAAATTCCTGCGGAGATTAGCGAAAGAACTCTTGCTAATGAATCTATGATACGTAAAAAACGTGGTAGACCTCTTGGTTCAAGAGATTTGAAACCAAGAAAATTTAAACAACAAGTTGTAGTTTGTGATGCCAAAGAAGTTCAACCTTCTCAAGAAGAAAATGAACATTTTGAAAATATCGGCTTTGAAGATAACATCAATAATAATGAAACCTCAAAAGAGGATACAATCACCTTCGAAGAGGTAAATATTCCAGATAAAAATAGAAACGTCGATAATTTTGAAATTTCAATTAATTATGTTTCTAATGGAATACAATGGAATATAAATGATTTTGATGTTAATGCTATATTTTCATATGCCATCGCCACAGATATAATGAATGAACACAATGACATTGAGCCTAAATCTATTGACGAATGTCGTCGTAGAAATGATTGGCCAAAATGGAATGAAACAATTCAGGTAGAATTAAAATCGCTGGAAAAGCGTAATGTTTTTGGACCAATTGTCCATACGCCAAAAGGCGTAAAACCTGTCGGTTTCAAATGGGTTTTTGTGCGTAAACGCAACGAGAAAAATGAAATCGTTAGATACAAAGCCCGACTTGTTGCCCAAGGTTTTTCTCAAATGCCAGGAATCGATAATGATGAGACGTATTCTCCAGTAGTTGATGCTACAACTTTAAGATTTTTAATTGGCATGTCTATTTTTGAAAGGTTGCAAATGCGCCTAATGGATGTGGTGACCGCTTATTTATACGGTTCACTCGACACAGACATATATATGGGAACTCATGGAGGCTTTAAAATACTTGATGCTTATAGCTCGAAATCTCGAGAATTATTTTCCATAAAATTGCAAAAGTCATTATATGGATTAAAACAATCTGGACGCATGTGGTATAACCATCTCAGTGAATATTTGATTAAAGAAGGATATAAAAATGATCCTATTAGTCCATGTGTTTTCATTCAACGATCCGAATCAGGCTTCACCATAATTGCAGTATGTGTTGATTATTTAATCATTATTGAAACTCCCATTGAAATTGAAAATACTGCAAAATATCTCATGAAAGAATTTGAAATGAAAGGTATTGGGAGGACAAAATTTTGTCTCGTCATTCAAATTGAACATTTGAGCAATGGTATTTTTATTCACCAATCAAAATATATCAAGAAACTTTTGAAGTGGTTTTACATGAATAAACCACGCCCGCTCAATTTTTCAGTAATGTTTCGATCTCTCAATATGAATGACGATTTTTCCGACATAGTGAATGTGATGGATAATCCTTGGTCGTGAAATAATATATTTGAATGCTAGATATTTTAAGCATTAATGTATTTGGCTAATATAATACTTGACTAGATATTTCTAGTTTTTTCTATAAATTTGTTAGCCAGATATAGCGCAGGTCAAAGGACGTTACATCAAATTAAAGGGGATAGAACAAAGCATACGTCACCAAATCTTTTCTCCACACATGATATTGAGAAACAAGGAACGGTTGATGTCAAACAAATCAAGTCATGTGACAATCCTGCTGATTTATTCACAAAGTCATTGGCACCGAAGAAATTCGAAGAACCTGTCCACAAAATTGGAATGTATCGTCTTCGAGATATATGTTGAATTGAGGGGGAGTAATATAATGCACTGCACTCTTTTTCCCTTCGTCCGGATTTTTTTTTCCCACTGGGTTTTTCCTGACAAAGGTTTTTAACGAGACAGTACATTATAATACTGTGAAACTAATACCCCAGAATAATTAGAAGATGACCATTCAAGGGGGAGTGTTGAAATATTATTGAATTAGTCATCTTCTAACTATTCCTGATTAGGAATTATTATCACCATTACATAAATAATTAGGAAATCATAATTGTGATTTCAAGGTGATAAATGTGTGGCTCACAATGATCTCATAATCTCATTGAGTTCACACTTTCTCCTATAAATAGGAGTCATTCTCATTGTAATTAACACACCATTACAACACTATTATCACACTCTTAATAACATCTTTCTCACTAAGTGTTCAGACTATACTTTCTCTCTCTGATCTTTTGTTTATTTTCTTCCATTTTATAACAGATCCATAAAATATTCAATAAACTTATTCATATTGTTTGACTTCCCAATTTATTGCACGTCCCCTTTGCATTTTTTATCACTTAGACATCATCCTTTAGAGTAGTTTTTTTGTTGAAACACTTTACTTGAATTGTACTTGATCTTTTCAATTAAATAAATCTTACTCTATTAGTCTATGGTTACTTTTTTTACTACAAAAGAGCGTCTTTTATCTTTAAAAAAACATATGATACAATATCTAGACAGTTATGACAAATCCGATCGCCAGCCCTAGGAATAGACATAGAATCAGCCACCCCATACAAAACAACCCGATTTACTAGACACAAAACGAGAAATTTTAAGCCTAAAAACAATCGGAACTGAAACACTGTCTATCAAACATACTCCAAAAAATCCAAACAAAACACACTCAATAAGTACTTAGTCATTGACCCGGTCCGGTCCGACCGGCCCGCTACTGTGCGGGACCGGACCGGCCCGGTTGACCGGTTACGGTACCGGTCCTGGGCCCGACCCGGCCTGCTAACCGGGGGCGGTTCTGGTGCGTAAAAGTTGTGAACCGGCCCGGCCGGTTCAGGCATCTGTTTTTTTTTTTTCGGAACCGGCCCGGCCCGGAACCGGTAGCGCACCAGGCCGGTCCCGGGCCTTACCCAAAACCTTCCAGGCCCGAACCGGAATCGGGCCCGATCCACCACTACAAGTACTACTAAAAAATGAAATAAAGCCTTTTCACAAAAGGCTTCTTGACACAGAGGTGGTTTCTGAGGAGGACGAGCTCTACAAATGTTTATGCAACACATAAGAAGGCAGACAGAAACCCTTGATCAAGCGAAGCTGGCCGTGAGTCAGTGACACCAAAAAACCTCCCCACACCGAGAGACACATTACAACTCGGAACGTTGGTGCCCTGGAAAGAACCATTGCAGAACAAAACAAATACAAGCAGAAAAGAAGCACAATTCGCACAGTCCAATTGTGCCATTGATAAGACTTGGGGTTCCATCTTAAAAGACCAAAGTCTTATCTAGTGTTTTATTGTTTTATAGCTTTCCGGTGTGGGACAAATACTTCAATAGTCATATCCAATTTTCGAGAGTCGATGGTCACTTTTCTTTCCATGCCACCGGAAAAATGTGGACGAGGGGTTGCACTGCTTTCAATTTGTTGGTGGCATGGCTGGAGCTGAACTTTAGAGTTGATTCGTGCGGCGACGTGAAAGGATACTTTGTGCGTCTAACCCTACTACTTTATTAAAATCTAATTACTAAATTATTACTCGCTCTTTTCTGTCACCAAAACTTGCCAAGTTTAACCAGTTCAATTTGAATCGGATTAACCAATTCATGCAGAAATTCTTGGGTACATCTTTGTAGTACCCTACTACAATAGTATTACACAATTCATGCAATCTTTTGCATTTTGAAATGCATTTAGTAATAATTTATAACAAATCTTTTATTTCAAATCTGTGTGGCCTAGCTTGCATCGAGCCCAAGTACCCAACCCAACAACTCCATCCACCAAAAACGATCAACAATGCTTTCAGCTTACCTTTGTAAAATACTACGTATATTGGAAAATATTCCATTTAAATGTCCTTGGAACATTTATATAATTTAATATATTTTGGGGACATTTATGTCTTACCATTAATATATTTATGTATAGTTAACATATGATTGGTATGTTTTAACATCAAATGGGTTTCTCTTTGATACAAGATAATACACTCGTTCGTTCCATTACGACTAAAACGAAAGAACATGTTTCTTCCTAAAGGTCTCAAGAACACCTATATTAAGAGACCCAAGGATAGTTCAATCCATCTAAATCCGCTTGTATCCTTGGAGAATCCACACATCCATGGCTATGGCTTCATCACCTTCTACAACACAATCAAAGTTTGGTTTCTCTCCAACCGGTTAGTGTCCTTATATGTGCTTGATTCTGTGAAATTTATCACGTTTGTGAGATTAGATTCTTATTTGGGACTGAATTTCTCAACAAAATTCCCTCCCAGCTGTGACGGAAAATGCTAGTGAAAGAAAGAGGGAAAATGATATGAAATTGTTTAGCTTCTTGTGTTTGGTTTTACCTCAGAAAATGCAAAAGGAAATTAAAATGTGATTAGTTTCCGTCTGTGTTTGAAAAAAAGTCATATGTTTGGAATTCTTTTCCTGTATGTAATATGGAGTATTTTATTTTTTGAAAATAAAAAAAATAAAATGTGTTTGAAAAAATATTACTGTAGTTCGAAATACAGTAATATTTTATCTCCTCCCCACAAAACTCTCCCCTTCAGCTTCATCCCTATTTTCTTTCCCTGGAATTTTCTGTCTCAAACGGACCCATATATGGAGTAGGGAAACAAAAATGCGGGGATGATACATACATCCTCCAACGGTAGAAATGCCTGCCCCCCAGAAGCAAATCAAATCTTAAATTCCGAATGGTCATACAAAACAGAGGAGCACAAATCCAATTGTTGGAATCTTTCCCCAACAACAAAAGCATAAACGCCCTTCTCCATCTCAATCCAACTGCACCCGGGCATTTTCTTCACTCCTTCTACTTTCATCAACTCTCTAACTATATCTGCCTCTTTCCACCTCCCCGCTTCAGCATACATGTTGGATAACAGTGCATAATACCCAGAGTTCTTGGGCTTCAGTTTGAGCAACTGGTCGGCAGCCCAGCAACCTAAATCCAGCTTTCCATGCAACCTACAAGCCCCAAGAAGAGCACCCCATACATTAGCATCAGCCTCAAAGGGTAAACTCTGAACAAGACAAACAGCTTCGTCAACTAGGCCGCACCGTCCAAGAAGGTCCACCATGCAAGCATAGTGTTTCTCAGTTGGTTTAATGTCATTACTAGCAACCATCTCATCAAAATATCTCCTTCCCTTTTCAATTAGCCCTCCGTGACTACAGGCCGACAGGACGGCGATATAGGAAACCGAATCATATTCAACCCCATCGTCTCTCATGGATTCAAAGAAATCCACAGCATTTTGAAGCTCACCGATCATTCCATACCCTAATATCATGGTGTTCCAAGATGCCGCATCCCTAGCTGGCATACGATCAAAGATCTTCCTAGAGATATCGATCCGTCCACACTTTGTGTACAGATCTAAAAGCGAATTTGCCACAAATTGATGTGAATGAAAATATCTCCTCATGGCAAAACCATGAATATCTCTTCCTTTCTTGATTTCAGAAGCATTAGAACACGCAGAGAGGGCCCCAATGAAGGAAACCATGTCATGTTTCATTCCAAGATGGCCCATTTCGGAGAAAAGAGAAAGAGAGATTTTCCAAGAATTACTTAGAGAATAACCAATAATCAGTATGTTGTAAGATACCTCATCCCTTTGGGAAATGTCAAATATATTTTGAGCAAGATTTAGAAACCCACATTTTGAATACATATCCATCAATGCATTTGATACGAATAAATCAGAAGCACACCCGCTACGAAGTGACTTTGCATGAATTTCCTTCCCGGGCCGAACGAATGCCAGCCTGCCACATGCTGGCAGAAGATTAGTGAAGGTCACAGATGTCGGATTTTTACCTGCAGCTTGCATTTCCCTTACCAGAGCCAGAGCATCAAGCTGGAGTGAATTTTGTGCAAAGTTAGCAATCATTGCATTAAATGATATAGCATTCTTCTTATCCATATTGTAAAATACATTGGATGCTTCGGTCGAACGCCCGAATTTAGAGTACGTATCAATAAGCGAATTTGCAACAAAGACGTCACTATCCAAATGCATCCTCACACAGAAACCGTGGACTTCCCTTCCGTTGCAAAAATAGCCTAGTTCGGTCAAGACTGGCAGAATGCTTGAGATTGTAGTGGAGTTTAAATCCATGCGCTCATTAATCATCAACCTGAAACTAATAATTGCTTGTTTATAACAGCCATTACAGCCAAAAATAACAATAATTGCATTCCACGAGACATTGTTCCTCTCGATCATTTCATCAAAGGTCTGTATCGAGGCTTCCACCTCTCTGCACTTACCATAAGCATCAATTAATGCATTCCCAATGCTAAGTTGAGTGTGTAAACCCACTTTGAAGATGTAACAATGAATCTGCCCACACATGTTGCCATACTCAAGCGCTGCACAAACGGGCAGCATGCTTACCACAGTAACTGCGTTAGGCTTAACCTCTGACAGAGATAACATTTCCCTGAACACTCTAAGTGCGTCGTAGAAGCAAGTATTGTGGGAGAATACCCTGATGATGGTGTTCCACGACACCAAATCCCTGCGCGGCATTTCATCGAACACTTTGAGTGCAGCCACCAGATCTCCTGTGCTGCCATAAAAACAAAGCAGAGTATTGTTGACGTACACATCTGAATCAAAACTCAACTTGAACAACATCCCATGTGCTTCTAAGCCTTTGGGGACCTCAAAAGAGTCGGTGCAGAGCTTGAGCACAAAAGGGAATGTATGATCATCGGGCATAAGACCGGTGCTGAGCATGTGATTATAGAGGGAGAGTGGAGTGTGGGCAGAGAGTCCAAGTAGGGCATGGGCTCGGAAGAGGGTGTTGTAGAGAAAAGGAGATAGAGCGAAGGGAAGGGTGTGTGAGAAGAGAGTGTGGATGGTTGTGGGGGTGGAGGCGAAGAGGGTGTAGCGGAGAATGAGAGCGGCGCATACGGAGATGCTGGAGGGGAGGACGCGGCGGAGGACGGCCTGAGCATGAGTTTGTTGGAGTTGCCGGATAGAGTGAGCCGAGTGACACAGGGAAAGGATGTCAGTGTGAAGATGATGATGATGATGATGATGGTAGGGTGAGGAAGGTAGAAGGCGGCGGTGGATGATCATCACATACATACATACAAAAACAATTTCACTTCTCCAATTTAGCACATGAATATTCATAAGTATGCACTAATCGACTTGGAAGCATTAATCGACTCATTCTATTTGTCCTGCTTATTGTCCAATAATCAGACTAATTATTAGATTTTGATTACTTTAAAGGTTGTTTGGTGTGTAATTTGATTGGATGGTTTTTTATTTTTTATTTTTACAAAGTACGTTTTCGTTCGTGGGATTTTGAATCATCAGTGCCAAGCGCTAAAGAGTTTGTTATGAGAAAGAAGAAATTTTGGAGTTCAATGTGTTATGAGAATTGTTAGGAGAATGCAGAAATTGATTCAAGAGTAGAATATGAATTCTGACTTCTACTCAAACAACTCATTCAGCTTCAGGATTGGAGGGATTGCACCAAAGGGAGAGCTAGAGGAGGTCACAAATGAAAGGAAATTACATATTTTTCCTCATACGAAAGTTGTATTTAATGCATTGAAACTTTATTTATATTTTAAGTGTTTTGAGCTAGTTTAGATGTGGTTTATATGGATTTCTTCATGTAACAAATATTATCAATGTAGCCAAATGAATAAATGGACTAAATTTCAATCCTTTATGAAATATTTAACACGTTGTGCACTTTGTGAAATTGTCTGTGAACCAGACATTAAGTGTCTGGTCACAGGCAATAGCCACTGGAATGATCTAATGTGCTGAGTAAAATTGTTTGTGAACAAGACATCAAGTGTCTAATCACAGACAATAGTCACTGGAATGACATAATTTGTTAAGTGCAATTGTCTGTGAAACAGACAAGAGGTGTCTGGTCACAAGCAAAGACCACTCGAATGACCTAATGTGCTAAGTGCAATTGTCTGTGAACCAGACATTAAGTGTCGGGTCACAGACAATAACTATTTGCATGACCAAACGTGTTATATGATATTGCATGTGAACCAGACATGAGGTTGTTTCAAATTTTGAAACTCTCTTTCTTGACTTTCAAATCAATTCTTTCCCCATTATTTGTTTTACCAATGTCTAATTCAAAATAAATTCTTTGAAAATAATGTTTGGACATATTCCTTCTTAGCACCGACAATTATTGCCCATGTCTTGAAAAACCAAGTTGAACGAGATATTTAACTTTAAGACAATAGTTACATGTGCTATTAAAACCAAATAACAATTAGAGAGATGGGGTGGCTAAGCCAAAATGTCAAAATGCTAACAATCATGACTTTCAAATTGATTAGTTTCCCCATCATTTATAAATATATAATATCTATATGGAACACAACCAATTTTTCCACATATGTTAATTAATGTGATAAAATAACCATTCTTCGGCACAACTTTGTGCCTAGTTCATAGACAATTACACTTGGCACATTAGCCTACTTCAGTGACAATTGTCTGTGGCTGGACATTTCATTTCGATTCACAGACAATTCCACACCATTTCAGTGATCATTGTCTGTGACCAGACATTTCATTCCTTATTCACAGACAACTCAATTAAACATATTCCTTCTTGGCGCCAATTCCTTCTTGGTGCACACACATATTGTCCATGTCTTTGAGCACTTTGTTGAATGAGGTATATAATCCTTAAGTAAAGATAGAAATAATATGGAAGACTGAACATTGTTTAAACATGGGATGTGATTATCAATATTTAAACCAAACAACACTTAAGAGATAGGATTACAAAGCCAAAGCCTATTAGTAACCCCTAAAATGAGGACATATCCTCTTGAGATACAATAAATTAAAGGGGAAACATATTAAAGAACTGCAAACATTAACTACAAACATTAAAAAATAAAAAAAAATCTAATTCCTATCAATAACAAATACATATTAAAGGAAAAGGAAAAGTAATCGGGAAATCCAGGGGGTCCTTAGACAAAGCATGTCCTGAGGATCATGCCAAACATAAAATCTGCAGATAAAACTAGGATTTACGATACATATAAGATCAGTCTGTTTGAGCGGTAATCCCGCTGTGCAATGGAGATCTTTAATAGCTCTGGAGTGCCTGCCAACCCTATAACTCACACAATTGTAATTGACAGGTTATTTGATTCGGGCGGATTGATGAAGTAAAAGGCTTCTGGGATGCCATTGTTTGGCCTCCGGAGTTCATGGTGAATATGTTTATTCTGCAATTCTTAAAGGGCTTTGCTGGGCTGAGAGAGTGGAGGGAGCTTGTCATTTCTTCATACGAATTGATGGATTCTGGGGTTTCTTTGTGTCTTGTGAATTATAACATTGTCATTCATGGTGCTTCTCAATTGGGGTTGAAGGCAGAAGTGGATTGAATTGTGGGAAAAATGAGAAAGAATGGGCCTACCCCTGATGCTGTGACATGGAGAATTCTGGATAAGTTGAATGACAAAACAAGGATGAAGTTCTGTGAGGATACATACAGCCAATAAATTTCAATTACCACGAGTGTAATAGGTGAGTGTAATATGTTGAACATCTGGGAAGCAAAACCATTTGTAAATTTCACGATTACAATTTTTGTTTAAACAGTGAGTATGAAGTGGAAGTAGCAATTTTTAATCAAAGGTGAGAACCGTAGGGGAGGCCCTGAGGAGTCAACCAAGTTACGAGGTTGTGCTTCCTTTTTGCAAAATTGTAAGAACATATATCTACATTGCTGGAAATTGCCTTCATATTTTCTTTTGGAAAAAAAAAAGAAACATAAAAGGAAAAAGTAAAGAGCAACTTAGATATGAAAAACATTCATTAAAACATTTCAACAAACATGTAATGAGCATACAAATGAAATATAATAGTTGGACTACAATTTCAAATGGTTTACTCCATAAACCTATACTCTGTATCAATGAGATAAAATAGTCAAGAGTTCACCATCACAATATACAACGGAGTATCATTTACTAAAAACTGAAGGAAAAAAAAAATTGTAACCCTATATATGAATACAAAAACAAGGAGTAGATTACCCTAATAATCATGGTTTTGACTTTTGAGACAAAGGAATGATCCAGGTCATGAGTCCATGCGAAAACTTTCTCTGCCGACCTCGGATAGTAAAGAGAGGAGTGGCTAGACCAAGATCGTCATATGCTCGACTTAAGTTTCCGATGGCCATTTTTGCCCGTCTCCATTCCAGATTTTATAGCCTACTTAGTTGAAGCCTTGAGGGGTTGAAGCTTCTGTGCCCGAATTCAAGAGATTTTGAAGATCAGTCCAAAATGAAAGAAAGCAAAAAAAAAAAACAAAGAGGCGTAGTCTAAGGAAACGAAAAGATAGAGAGGGAAGAGAAGCGATGGAGTGTGATGGGAGTGAAGTAGGGCGGAGGGGTAAAAAATTTGGGTGGAGTTTATTTTGGGCTTTTATACAATGTACATCTTGTGTACAAGCTATGCACACATAGCATTTTTGTTTTTTCATTAAACTACGCACTCGTATCTTACCTTTTTTTTGGATGAAATGTAAATTTTATTAGCACCTAAGAAAAAATAACATAATACAATGTGTCGAAAATCTACCCATTGGAATCTATCTAAGCTAGTCAAGACTAACCTAAATGGATAAAATCACAAAATAAGTCCTTGCACGGGACAGGCCCCGGCTGTGTTCCAAAGCAGTCTAAACAACATTAAACAAACAAAAGCAACCTATAAGCATACTATCTATCTTGCGTTCCTTTCTTCTTCCAAATTTCTTGAAGCACACTTACATCAATTTGAAATGGAGCCCCCTCATTTCCGTTATCTTCCTTTTCTTTATCTTCAAAATTCTCACTTGCTCCTTCAAGATTAAACCCCGGAAAAAACAGTCTGCCCCCACCTGAATTAGACTTATCATTATTAGCTTTGCTAGCAGTAGGCTTGTGCGTGACAGACTTGGTATCAGGAGTTTTCACCGGCTTCAAATTCTTTTTGCCCTTCTTCCTACGTATTTCCTCAAATGGTCCTTCGGGGTCAACAGTCTCCTGCACAACAATGGCCTTCACAGTGAGCTCAATGGCCTTCACAGTGGGCTCCTCGGTAGCTTTGGCAGCCTCTAATTTATCCGGTGCTAAATCAGCTTTCTTTGTGGCTTCCTTAGCTATTATGATAGCATCAAATTTTTCGGGTTCGCTGGTTTCAACCTTTTCTTACCTCCACATACATTAATGTTTGTTGTGCTCATTATTTGTAAATAAATAAACACAGTCATGTATAGCTCAAACTCGAAACCAGGCTCAAATGCAATGTATTAGATGGAATGACAATTATGCCTTACTCATGAGCTCTTCTTATCGACTCAAGCCAGCTCAGCTTGTTAAGCTAATCGAGTAGTCAACAAGCTCGAGCTCAACTTGTTTCCTCGAACAAAGGAGTCAAATTCGAACTTTAACGAGCCAAGTCCAAGTTAGAGGTAAGGCCAAAGCACATTACGCAATGGCCAATGAGGTCAAAATAAGAATAGCAAATACTCCATCCGTCCCCATTATATTGTCCTTAGTCATGGACTCGGGCCGGGTGGCTCGACCCGGAACCGGCTCGGGACCGGTACTGTGCTGAACCGGCCCGGTGGCTCGGCCAGTGACCAGGCCGGGTTGGCCCGTCCCGGGGGGTTCCCGGTGCGGGCTCGGGTCACCCAAAAGCCGAACCGGCCAACCGGCCCAGTTCCGAGCTTTTTAATTATTTTTTTTCAATTTTTTTTAACTTTTCGGGTTGGGCTGGGTATTTTGGGCCATTGGGGGAGGTTTGGGGGTTGGGGGTGGGGTGGGGGGTAATTAGGAAAAGGAAAAATAAATTGACCCGAGGCCCGGCCCGGACCCGGTGGCTACCCGGGCCGGTCCCGGTTCTTCCTTCCCAAAAAAGAAGCCCGGTCGAGCCCGGCCCGGAACTGGAACCGGCCCGGGTCCATGACTGATTGTCCTGTTTTACCTTTTTCGGGAAGTCCCACTAATATTATCTCATACCTTATTTGATGAAGTTTGTATGGCTCAAAATCATTCTTACTTTATTCTTACTTTATCAATTAATATCAACCACATAAAGCCATCTTTCTTAAAAATTGTGTCACTCTCTTCCGTCCAATATAAAAGGGACGGGGGTAGTAGAATTCTATTGCTTAGACAGATATAGAGATAGAGCATGGTGTCACGAGTTTCCCACACTCGGCAGATTACGCCGCGGCATGGCCAGATAATTGCGCCGCGGCATAACTCGTGACCAAGCCCACAGCTGAAGTCTAGAGATACCAAGGAGAAAGGGGCAGGATTCCGGAGGTTCATAGAATACTCTAGACTCATGTAGATAGGTATACACTTGTATAGAATACTCTAGAATACCATAGATTTGTATAGAATATTCTAGAGATAAATTGTAGCCGTTAGATCAAATAGATCTTGACCATCCATTGAGGAGGAGGCAAGTATAAATACCCCTCATGGTGGTTCATTTGTAATCATCGAAGTTTCCAAGCATTCAATAAAGTGTTAAGCTTTCTTCAAGAGATCACTTGCCTTTATCACTTTCCTAGCCAAGCACTTAGCACACACACCACCCTAAGACATCGGTTGAGGCTGACTTAGCTATCGCGAGGGGCGAAAAGGAGCTAAGGCCGCACGTGAGCTTGT